TATTTATAGATAGAGTTTTAGCTTTTAGTTTTAATTACTTTTTCTTATTTGTAAGTCGCTTTGGATAAAAGCGTCTGCTAAATGACTAAAAGTAAAGTAAAGTAGAGTAAGCCACATTTTACCTTCTTTATTTTGTAGTTCTCAGTACCTAAAAGCGTCTGCTAAATGACTAAAAGTAAAGTAAAGTAAAGTAAGCCACATTTTACCTTCTTTATTTTGCAGTCACTTCTCAGTACCTCCCCTAATTCTAGACCAATGCCTCTCGAGCATGAACTTGCAATCTTTATGCAAGCAGATCAAATCTTGTGTTGAGGGTGATAACCGCTATGTCACCACAGCTAGTCAAACAAATTAAATTAAAAATACAACTAAATCAACTACTAAGTGAGTGTCGTTGGATACAACTTTTAACTTCTCAGCTTTGTAACCTTCAAGCTTTCCTGGTAGCTTTGTTCAATAAAACCGTCATAAGGCATGAATTATTAACCTACCTGTGAAGAATCTGAGCCTCTGTGACACGCTTTCACCATCTGCATTAGCACACACTTTATCACTGGGTACAGCATGAACTGCTTTGACAGAAGAATTTACTGTGGTGGCAATTTAAATGATCCATATGAGAGAATAGCTGAGAATAAAAAATGTATGACTTTTCTTTGATATTTTGTTTTATTTGATATGTTTGGTCATCAATAAATGTAAGATTTTAAAACATGTCAGTACAGACCACAGAGATACAGAGATCAAATTCTAAACTAATTATGATTATTTATACACCGAATGGATTTTTGTCTCCTCAGTCTGCCATACAGGGATTCCACTTTGTACACATGAAACAGCTGCTCTGTTTTTTAAGGGGGTAAAGTATAGGATCAGGTTAAAGGCCAGTGTTTTGTAATTGAGCCTGTGTGAGTGATTGATTTTGTGAGCTCTTCATTACATGAGAGGCTTGAGTCTGTATCAGTCTTTAACGAAAGAACAACTATGATAAAAGACGTTTTGCTCTGCCTGTGCTTGACCCTGGCACCTGTTTGGACAGCCCCTGTACAGACAGGCAAGTATTATATTGCTTTTAAAATAATATTGAACATTATACAGTGAAATAATATTTTACTTAATTATCTATTTTACTAATTTTTGAAGGAGTACTGTTATTTGACAGGAACATAAAATAATAATATATATCAAAGAATGGGTGTTAATGTCAGATTGGTTTGTATTTGTACAGACTCTGGGCCGGTGGTTGTTCTGAAGCATGGCAGTGTCCGTGGGCAATATATGAAAGTTAAAGGCTCAGAAAAGGTGGTGGAGCAGTATTTGGGTGTTCCTTTTTCCCAGCCACCTGTTGGCCCCCTCCGCCTGGCTGCACCTGGTCCTGTACAGGGATGGGAGGGCATAAGAAATGCCACCCAGCACCCATCTATGTGAGTATATGGCTATATTCATAAAAGTAACTGTAATTTATGCAATATATCTGTACTAAATTCCTTATTTACCACTAAATTACTATATATTTACTCCACCTATACAGTATATATACACAGTTTAAATAGACCTGCGAAATTTATGGTAAAAATAATTATATATTTAAATGCGGTAGCAACATTTTAGGATATATGAGACTCAAATGAACTGTACTTTTCATTAACTGATGCAATGTTAATATTGCATCTAAAGAAATAAAATCTGTTTTTTACCTGTATAATTTACTGATAACCACCATAATAATACAGGTTGTAAAAGAGACAAAATTAGCCTTTCCGCATGCTGCGGTATATACTAATACAGTAAAAGGTGCATACATGTCTATTTATATTTTTTTCACTTTAAATTACATGACTGTTCATTTTCACTTCCAAAATATATTTAACAGCATTTTACTTTTTTTTTATTTACTGTAATGTCCCGCTATAGATCTATTACAGTTTTTCACTGTACATGATAAAGGAATTTGCCATACTAACCATAGCAGTTTTACAGTCTTTTACCATCAAAATGACGAACATTTTTTACAATGTACCTTCTCTCGCTGTATTCTAGGTGCCTTCAAAACCCAGATATTCTGCCTATAGTAGCAAAATCCATGAAGTTGGATTTCACACCAACAGGAGTCTCAGAAGACTGTCTGTATCTGAATGTTTACAC